AGTAGTCTTTTTCTAGAATTCTGAGTGGTCCACGTCACTGGTTTGCAGGACGTAGACCAATCAGGCTTGCAGGAAAGAGACGGGTGTTGGCCGCACAGTTGCTTTGTCTCTTTCTAGAGAATGGTCACTTTTGTGAGGCTAACGCTCAGTGCATTCTCTATGTCTGTGGGTCTATATCATATAATATGGTTAATATTACTTCAGGCGGTCCATTTTCCTATGATTATAATTTTTATGCTAGCTTAAAGCCTTGTTGTACCTAATAGTTTGTTGAATTTAACTGTATGATCTCTAAACGTGTCATTCGGTCTTTTGGTGCAATGGTGTTGCCATATTTTTTTAAATATGTATTTTTATTATTGCCTTTTGTATCGGGTAAGTTTGTCGGATCTTTTCTTTTATATTTAGTTCCGATTGATTTGCGTTGTTGTGTTTATTATTTTCCGTTATATTTCTTAAGAGATAGTCTTAAAGATAAGCAAATTTACTAGTGTCGTAAAGTAAAAGATTATAAATACAATTATTTCTATTTTTGTTCCTAGATATTTTTTAATTTTTTGTTCAATTATAAGAGTTTGTTACAGCTGACTAGGGTAAGCAATTGCCAAACATTGGGATGACATGACCAAATTTCTCGCATTTTATTACTGGTCAAGGGTATAAACAAATTCGTGTATGGGTAGTACTTTGCTCGACATCCAAACAACTAATGATGTGTGAAAGTAACTTGGTTAAAATTAACAAATCTTAGTTACGACCCATACAGTAATCTCGAATTTAAAAATATGTGTGGGTAGAGTATCTGTCAAAAATTTATAATTATGGTCCCTAAATCTGTATAATATGGAATAGTTACAAGTTTTTAAATGAGAACCTATCTGTATTCGTTGCTTGAACCTAAACTATTAAGAATAAAGACCAAAGTAAGAGAAAAATAGATGTATTATTCAGTACCTTTCTGTAGGTTTGTTGTCCCAGTGTCTTATTTGAGAAACTTTTTTTGGGGTGTACCTATTTGTATTTTATTTTGTATTAGGAGTACGAGGTGAAATAGTAACAAAATTATTGCCTTTTAGGCGCACTAGTCAGCTTCCCGGTGAGGTCGATTAATTAACTATATAATATTAATATATGTTTTTGTTATGGAATTGATGTATTTTTAGTTATTAATTAAGAATTTCATTGGTCCTTGAGCATGGTAATTTATTGTTTAATGTAAGGACCTTCCATGTAAATAACAATATTGTTAATCAAATCATATAAAATAAGAATATATTCAGGAAGTCCACGGAAGCTAGTGGCACAAAACTTCTTTTCAACTAAAATTATGTTTGAAAACTTAGATATTTACAACACTTTCATGCGTCAACACTTCAACACGAGAGAAAATAGGGAGATGAACATATACGCGTTCCTTATTTTAGACCACCTTTTTATTGCTAGTATATCATGCAAACACGTCACTGTCAACTTTATGCATTTAAGAATTTCATCGCTGTTAACGGGATATAAAGCAGGATTAAAATAATGGTGACTAACATCTGTTTGTACTCTCTAAACATCTGACACGCCGCCGTATTTAAAAACCGTTTTTAAAAGTTACCATATTTAAAAAATGCATCTTAAAAATTATTTCATATTGATATTAAAAAAAAATCAATTTTTTTTTATTTGATTCTTCCAAATTCCTTACAAAATGCGTGAGTGCATAGCGCGCAAAATGAACTCGTACATTTCATTGTGACCGATGCAACAAAAATATGATAATATAAAAGTAATATTTTAAAAAACATTTTATATTTTTATTCTTTATTGCTCAGAGTATTCTTCAGCTATAGTAAAACTATAAACTGAACCTTATTACTAGAGGAAAAGCATACAAGTACTTGCTCAAACCGTCTCGTTGGTCCAGTGAATTTCTTGCTATATTATATAGATTTCATTTATTTCTAGTCTGTACTTCTATTCTCTAAGAATTGTTTAGAATTACGAAATGTGGTGGATAAATAAAGTTATCTATTTCTTATCAACTGTTGTTTTATTGAACTACCCTCATGGATACTATTAAACAAATATGTGCAAGTTTATACTTATAGAAAATGAGTTATGCAGGTTGAAATTACTCGTGTATGTATTATATGTAGACGCATATTTTTTACAAGATACAGCCACGATGCAGCTTTACTACTGAAGCACAAATGGGTCGGCTCGACCGAGGATGGACCACACTCATAGAATACCGGCGAGAAATAGCAACATAGTGCTGCTGTTTCCTATAGTAGTGAGTTTTTATAAACGGAGACTATTTTTAGACCTCTACACTAGGAATTTCTCCTGTATCGTGGGGGTAGTTTACATATATAAATTTCACAAACATCCAGACCCGAACCATTATTTGTAGGCCATACAAATACATGTTCCGTGCGGGATTCGAACTCGCGGTACTCACGAAGAAGTCAAACTCGGAGTGATTTTTTTAGCATTTCCCATAGCCGCCTCTTATGACATCGACGGGGCATAATTCAATGATGAATTCTCTAACATCGCCATAGCACCTACTATTTGAGTCCTTAAATTCTTTGTCACTATTGTTACTGACGGATTTCTCAAAAAAAAAAACATTAGCAGATAAACATATTCCATCCACGTTTGTGATAAAAATATAAATAAAAAGATGGATTAAGTCCCATGAGGACTTCATTCAGACTGCAGGGACGGAAGTTCTTTTAGGTCTTTACTGCTGGGCACACGTGTCAAGAAATATTTTCCCATAATTACCACGCCAATCAGACCGACGGTATACCAATAACTAGTTCCTTTAGGATTTTTCTTAAAACACGATTTTTTCCTAGCCAAAGATTCTCACTCCATCTAGTGGCGAATTGCTTAAACAACACCTCTCATATTGTTGCGCGCCACTATTAATGTCTTGTACATGGCAACACTAGTTACCACTAGCGCCCTCTAGTGTCGAGTAGCAGAACTAGGAGAGTCAAGATCCTTCTAGAAATTTTGGGACCGATATGTACTCGAACATGTATGTTTCTACAGTAGAAGGTTCTGGAAACTATCTGAGGCCCTATAAAAGGCCGGTATAGACCACGACCGGGTCAGTATTGAATTGGCGATACAAGTGAGTACTTCGAAGCAATACAACTGCGAACTAAAGTGATCAGTAGTACAATTGTGTTTTATTGTTAGTGTGGTTTTAAATTGTAATTAGTGTTCTGTAATTAAAGTGTCAATTTTGGTAATTCACTCGGCAGTTTTTAATTGTTTCGAACCCCAAGCTTGTAACAATATATAAACTATCATTACTTTTAAAACAAAATATTCAAGAAAAAGTTCATCTGCTTTCTTTTAAATCTGTATCCATTTTGATTATTATTAATTAACTTTTGACGTTTGCATCATCTCAGACATATATATACAAGGCGTGAGTGAATAGGCCTTTGTAATGCTAAGCTAGTGCAGTATACTATAACATCACAAGTCAAGCACTAACTTATAATAGAAGGTAGTGATAGGTAAAAATATACATGAAATAATATATTATAAATAAAAAAAATTAAGTGTTCAGAACGGCAAGAGTATCTATCCATATATGAACACAATATACAACCAGTGAAAATCCTACCGCTGAACATAGGCCTCCCACATAGATCGTATTCGGGTGACTTCACCACAGTTGGCACGCTTGGCAGGCGGGTTGGTTAGAATATCTAACGCATACTTGTTATCTTTGTTAAAGTACCTTTATACTTTTAATTAGTTATCAACATAGATATATATGTACTACGTACTAGATTTCGCATTCCGTACATACACTATGTTCAAGTGAACTGTACTGCAATCCGTACAGTGTATCATTTAGTGTGGTTTCAATCTACTAGTTAGTCTGTGGTTTCAATATTCATGCAGTGTGGAGCGGCGCTAATAAGACAAGATTTCAAATTAAAGTTTAAATTCAAAACTGACCGCGCAGGCGCAACGCGCTTAAATCGCGCATGCGCGACTCTATCTCCCGCGCATGCGCGAATACATAGAGTAGTGCACATTTTTTGTTTAGAAAGGCTTCTCTAGTACGTAGTACATATAACTCAATTGTTATCAATTATAATCATTAGCCACCTATTTGCGCGTACAATATAATTGGTGATTTCGAAACTCACGGTAGCTTATAATTAGCCTCATGGTATGTGTGTCAACCACGTCGGAGTGCGCGCTTTCGAATCTCAACAAACAGGAAACAATATATGAAGTTAGAATATTTATTGACATTGCAACTTCATCAATCAATATCAACACCGTCAACATGAAATTACCGTCACTTTAATGAAATTTTCCGATGATTCTTCTGATCCTTCCATCTCAATAGAAAGAGTTTGGTGAAGCTCAGAAATACCGAACACAGTGGAACCGTATCGAAATTTGGAACCGGTTTTCAAACCCTGAGCAGATCAAATTCATCCTCAGAATAAAATGTAAACTGCTAGACTTAAAATCAGCACACAGCATGTTGATGTCATCATTTATTATTGTTAGGAAGCCTATTATACAATTTTGAAACTTAAAGAGGATATCTGGACTGCAAGATATTTGAAAAATAGATTTTTAACAATTTATTGCTGTCATGCTGTGCCCTAATGACCAAGCTAGATAAAAGACGTATGAAATCATTATCCCATGTCCCCCGTTTCCTGGTAGAACTGGATCATTCATTTTTATTTTCATGAACAATGTATAAAGAATTGTGGTTGGCTGTTTTCTTTTATTTTTTATATTTGTTTAATTAGTTTACCGGATGCCTATGGTCTAAGAAGTTTCCTAGTTTTGAAAATAATTAATTTGTAGAAAAAAAACAAAACATGGTAACAAAAAATGACACTGGTAGTTATAGATTTTATCATAAAAATTATTGAATTTAGTGTCCAGATTCAAGGAAAAGAATAGGGAATATGTTCGTATGAACTTAACACTGCCCTGATATCCTGTTACAATCACTCCTCCGCAGTGTAAGTTATTTTGTTTGACTTTAACTTGTTAAATATTTGAAAGAAGTCTGAGGTGGGGGCTACAGCACCAATCATTACCCACGATTTGAGTGTTTTTGCTACATCCTCGCTCTTTAACTGCATAGTCAAATTCATTGGTTTGTTCAGTCTCTGCGGATCAAAAAACATCTTTGAACTCTTTATGCACAGGTCCGTTAGTAGCGGGGGGTCGGGACCCAATATGTTATCCACATACTGTTCATCATACATTTTGTTTGTGTAATCTATACCAGTCTTTGTTAAAACGGGTACAGGATCATATTCTGGTATTTCTTTCAAATGATCAGCGTTCTCACTCCATCCGGCGTGTATACGAAGCAGTGACGGAATATCGCGACCGTGAAGGCTTGCGTCTACAAAGCTTTCATAACCGAGACCTGAAAAGGGAGTTTTATATTGTATTCATTTCGAAAACATGGATATAAAGATCATTTTTGTTAAGATTCATTCATTCCAATTCAATTCGACGGGTAGTTTTTGCGACAGGGAGTCCACCACTCCATCTCGTGTGCATTGTAAAAGGTGACAGTGGGAAATGAAACAGATGATGGGCAGCAGCATCTTCCTGATAAGAACTCAATAAAAAAAACTGTGATTGACAACCAGCCTGCCAGGCAACTACGGCAAAATCCCCCCTATGAGGCAATCTGTAGGGAAGGCCTATGCTCAGAAGTGGACGTTTATAAGCTGTGATGGTAATGGAAATAATTATTAAAACTTTACCTAAAACACAAGCTTTTAATAGACCGCCAGGTCGAACAGAACTTGTCAACGCCACAGGAGCGCCCGGAATAATAGCTAGATACAGCGGAGCACTAGACCGTGTATCTGATGACAGCTGCACACTAGCAAACACTAGATCTCCCAAACGAACTGTTTGTATCTATGGAAGAAATATATTAACATTGATGATATTAGTATAGATGTTTTAACTCACAAAGGCAGTTTGTTCTTAATTGTGTATGTAGATGATTCACATTGTTTCTGTGTGTAAAAACTCGGGAACGCTCAATATTGGCCGAGCCGGTTTCGCGCCAAAATTTAGCATTAAGTACCGTCAGTATGGAAAGTAGATGGAGAAAAGATGTGCGCAGTGAAGTAAATTAATGTTTACATATATTCCTATAGTAGTACCTAGTGAGTTAGATTTATATTGTAGCATGTATCTGATTCTAATGATGTATTCACATATTGTCTCGTGGTTGTCGTAAGAGGCGACAAAAGAGAAACAAAACAGGAGATTGGCAGCAGCGCCTTCCTAATCTATACAAATAAATAAATATGAACTGTCTGTTTGTAATGTTAAAATTACAGCTTTCTACTAAATACATATGAAATATTTTTTTACGTGGTAGAGCCATGCTGCAGCTATATTAGTAGTATAGTTGTAGCACAAATGGGTCGGCTCGACGGGGGAAGGACCACACTCTCACAGAATACCAGCGTAAAATAGCAGCTTAATACTGCTGTGTTTCGTATGGTGAGTGTAGAGAACTGGAGACCCTTTTCATTGGGAACGAGGCATTCTATCTTAGTCCTCACGGGTGACAACGCATCTGCATTTTGATTCGCAAACGAGGATAAATGTAGATGTCTATGGGCCACAGCAACCACTTACCATCAGGTGGACTGAATGCTCGTCGTCGGAATTCCGCTCAAAAACATAACTGCTCGGGGCAAACTGAGCAACAATACCAAGGCGACCCCTGCCTCGCTATCCGTGATATTTCTGCAACATCAGGGAACTTCACTCGAACCTAAACGCCGTCCACTATCATCTCATCCGGACGGACATCAGGTTTCCGTCGATGCCCCTCTCGGCTCTTCGGACCATTGTCTGATCCGGAGTGTGGTGCCACTCACGCACCCCTCGCGGTTGCGTTCTGCAGGTTGCCGCCGTGTTTGGCATTACAGGTCGGCGGATTGGGACGGAATGCGGTTTTTCTTTGCATTCTACCCATGGGGGTGGGTTTGCTTATCGTCGGATGATCCCAGCGCTGTTGCTGACTCTGTCACTGATGTGGTGCTACAGGGAATGGAACTATTTATTCCATCATCTGTGGTACCCATCGGAGGCAGATCTCAGCCCTGGTTTGGTCGCTCCTATAAGACTGCATTACGCAGTAAGCAGGAGTGTTATCAAGCCTGGGCTGCGGCTTCGGCGACTCGGGATGTAAACACCAGCACACTTAAAAAGAAGTATAACTTCGCCTCCAGGTCCTTCAAAAGAGTTATTACCAGGGCAAAGTCAGAGCACATAGGCAGAATTGGCGAGAAACTAGTTCGCCTTCCTTCGGGAACCCGTTCATTCTGGTCTCTCGCCAAGGCTGTCCAAGGGAATTTCTGTAAGCCATCACTACCATCTCTGCACAGGGAGGACGACTAACTGGCCCAAGCCGCAAAAGACAAAGCCGACCTTTTAGGCTCCCTTTCTGCGTCCAACTCGACTCTTGATGACAGGGGGAAAACACCGCCGACCATCCCGCAGTGTGAGTGCTCCATGCCGGATGTGCTGTTCTTACAGCGCTCGGTTCGCAAAGCACTCCTATCCCTGGCCATCCAGAAGTCGAGTGGGCCTGACGGAATCCCCCAATTGTGCTGCGGACGTGTGCTCCGGAGTTGGCACCGGTCCTAACGTGTCTTTTCCAGTACTCCTACTCCCAAGGCGTAGTCCCGAATTCATGGAAGACAGCTTTTGTCGACCCGATCCCTAAAAAAGGCGACCGCTCAGACCCGTCCAACTATAGGCCTATCGCCATCACCTCCTTGTTCTCCAAAATAATGGAATCTATTATTAACTGCCAGCTCATGCGGTACCTTGAGGGTCACCAGCTGATTAGTGATCGCCAATACGGGTTTCGTCGGCGTCGATCAGCTGGTGATCTTCTGGTCTACCTGACCCATAGATGGGCGGAGGCAGTAGAGTCCAAGGCCTTTGGCCGTTAGTTTGGACATTGCGAAGGCCTTCGATCGGGTTTGGCACAAAGCGCTTCTTTCGAAGCTCCCTTCCTATTGGCTTCCCGAGAAATTGTGCAATTGGATCACCAGCTTCCTTGGAGATCGGAGCATCAAGGTCGTTGTAGACGGTGCATGCTCCGACTACAAGTCTATTAACGCTGGTGTTCCACAAGGCTGTGTGCTATCACCAACGCTGTTTCTTCTGCATATCAATGATATGTTGCTAACTGGTAACATTCATTGCTATGCGGATGACAGCACTGGTGATGCTTTATACACCGGCCGTGCCAATATTTCTCAGGAAAACGTCGCTGAGTACCGGAACAAACTTGTGTCTGAAGTCGAGTCTTTGCTGAACAAAGTCTCGGATTGGGGGCGACTAAATTTAGTCCAGTTTAATCCTCAGAAGACACAAATTTGCGCGTTTACCGCTAAAAAGAACCCCTTTCTCGTATCTCCTCAGTTTCAAGGCACTCCCCTTCTTGCCTCAGCCAGTATCGGAATCCGCGAAGTCGACATATCGAGTGACGTGCAGTTTCGTGGTCACTTGGAAGAGAAGGCCAAATTGGCCTCTTATAAAGCTTGGCGTGCTCAGCACCTCAGGACAGTATTTCATGCCGGCATACCGCCTGCAACTTTACAAGGAGCAGGTTCGGCCTCACATGGAATACTGTTCGCAGTTGGGCTCCCCAGTGCCAGCTCCTTCCACTTGACCGCATCCAGCGCAGAGCGGCTCGAATCGTCGACGACCGAGTCCTTTCCGATCGGCTCGATTCATTGGCACTGCGAAGAGATGTTGCATCCCTTTGCATTTTCTTTCGCATCTACCACGGAGAGTGCTCTGAGGAATTGTTCGGATTAATCCCAGCCGCCAAACTTCACGAACGCACATCGCGGCAGAACTCCCGATACCATCCACATCCATGTGCGATTTAGAAGATGTTTTCTTCCTCGCACGACTTCCTTGTGGAATCGATTACCATCAGCGATTTTTCCGGACCGATACGACTTAGGGACCTTCAAGAAAAGAGCCTACTCCTTTTTAAAAGGCCGGTAACGCATCTCCAATTCCCCTGGTGTTGCGGTTGTTCATGGGCGGTGGTAGTCACTTACCATCAGGTGAGCCGCATGCCCGTTTGCCCGGTCTTCTATAAAAAAAAACTCTTATAGATGTAGTTTTCTCACAATGTTTCCCTTGACAGTACCGGGCAAAGGAAATCGACATTTAAAATTGTAATTAACTTTGTAGTGACAAAAGCAATTAACATGGGTGAATTAATAAAAAAGTCTCTAAAATACATATCTACAAAATATATGAAATGCACAACATTTTTTTTTACATGTCACTTACATGTCATATAAAATATAATTAATAAAATAAAAACCTCTGGTGTCTTATTTCTGCCAATACGGGTACTTATCAATGCTTGCATTAGTCTTTCGGGCAATTCTGTTTCCTCCACAGGCTCTTCACTTAACGGCTCTTTTAAATCAATAACATACCAAATTCGACTTTGTGTTGCAACCACTGAAAAAAAATTAATATATTTAAATACTTTAACATGGTAGAGCCATGCTACAGTTATATTATGGTTGCAGTGAGGAATAGATCAGCTTGACCAGGGACCACGCTCAGACAATACCAGTGTAAAATAGCAGGTTAATGTATAGTGAGTGTAGAGAACTGAAGACCCTTATTACTGGTAAGCAGGTGTCTGAGTCATCAGGGGTGACAATGCATCTAGATTTTAAATTAATCTAATCAAGGATAGATGTAGGTGCCTTTCGGGGTCACAGCATCCACTTACTATCAGGTTGACAAGTACTTTTAAAAGTACACAACCCCATTTTTAAACACCTTTAAAAAGGAGTATGTTTTTTAAAATATATTTTATGCAATATTTTCACAGATTAAGAAAATATTTTAATAATTCTTTTTTTAATTAATAGGTTATACTTCAAGGGTGGTCCCATATAAATTTGGAGAAAAAATTCCATGCCTAAGGGTTGCAAATAAATAACTTCTTTTTTAGCAATTTGAAGTGGGTTTTTACTTTTAAAAGTTATAATTATCAACAATCTAACACTGATTTTGTTTAATGTGACTAAGAAAATGTTATCATTATGGGTGTTTAATATAGGTAATTATAAAATACAAAATTGGATAATACCTTCATGATGCCTTACTTTGAGATTCAGTCTATCACTGTAAGAGTACTCAACACAGGAGATAATAACGGTTCTGAAGTACTTTAGCAATCTTCAACTGGTCCTGATTATATACAGTACTTAGAATTGTTCTTGAAAAAAATAGTGTTAAGGTATGCATCATGACTGAGACATTTATGCTTTTGTAAAAAACACTTATCCTTAAGATTTTTTTTTTTATAGGATATGGGTGACAAACGAGCACACAGTCCACCTGATTGTAAGTGGTTGCTGCGGCCCATAGACATCTACATTTAGCCTCGATTACGAATCAAAAAGCAGATGCGTTGTCACCCGTGAGGACTAAGATGGAATGCCTCGTTTCCAGTAAAAAGGTTCTCCGGTTCTCTACACTCATCATACGAAACACAGCAGCATTAAGCTGCTATTTTACACTGGTATTCTGTGAGAGCAATGTTTTAAAAATAAAATTGAAAACTGTGTAGTAAACCTACCACTGGGCACAAGCCTTCACTGCTCCAGTGTGCATTTACAGTATTCTCACAATGTAGCTCAGACGGTTAGCGATTGCTGTAAATGTCACAGTACGCAGGCAACCCGGGTTCAATCCCTACCGGCACCAATGAAATTGTGGCGGGGAAGGAAACTCGAACTCGACGGTGAAGAAAACATGGTGAGGAAATTTGCATGTCTGAGAAATAAGATTTTTTTTTCGAAGGCATGTTAAGTTCGCCAACACACACTGGGGACGCGCGGAGGACAGTTCCTTGCCCTAAAACCCTCTCAGAAATGAGGGGAGGCCTGTGACCAGCAGTGGGTAATATACAGGCTCCTCCTGTACAGATTTAGTTTAGTTTAGTTTACGACTGGCTGTTTTCCGCAACTCCACGTCTATGCGCCTATTTTGCGTGTGGGCAGGAATAATGTGATTATTCAAGCCATAAGATCTCCCCAAAGAAGCTGAACTGCCCTTTGATGTGGCATGCAACTTTGGGGAGCGATACCCGCGTGCCGATATGTTTAGCCCTGTACGTAACGACCGGACATTTTAGTAGCACGTGGGCTGCCGTTTCTTCCTCCCCCATAGATACCCTGCACAGGGGACTATCTGTAACACCTATAGTAAATAAATGCTTGTTAAAGGTGCCGTGTCCTGTGAGAGCACTTGTTACTATCCTGATCTGTGGCTTGTTCAGTCTCATTAGAACTTTGGTTAAACGACTGTTTATTTCAGGCAGGGCCTCCCTAGCCTGTCTATAAGTCTCCTGCATAGATTGAATTATGTGGGGATATTTCCCATCGTTTGCTTGGTGAACAGGCTAGCAATTGCAGTTTTTATATTATACTGAGTAATTAAAAGGAAGTTTCTGCTACATATCTCCTGTTTCATTAACCTGTTGCCCTATATGACACTTACAGGACATCATCGGTCAAAAAGCATTATCTAAATTAGCATTTAAAAATTCATAATTTAGTTGGTATTGGTACTGGTAAATATATGCTTGAGGCTTATACTATATTCTTTTTATAGGATAGGGTGACAAACGAGCACACAGTCCACCTGATGGTAAGTGGTTGCTATGACCTATAAACATCTAAATTTATCCTCAATAAAGAATCAAAATGCAGATGCATCGTCACCCGTGAGGACTAAGATGGAATGCCCCTTTTCCAGTAAAATGGGTCTCCAGTTCTCTACACTCACCATACTAAACACAGCAGTATCAAGCTGCGATTTTATGCTGGTATTCTGTGAGGGCGTGGTCCTTCCCGGTCGAGCCGAGGCATTAGTGCTACAACTATAATACTAATATAGCTGCAACATGCCTCTACCTCTACATGGGTGACAAGGCTCAATCTAACTACAGATTTATTACTTAACAAGTATTTCCCTTGTAAATATATAAAGAATAACTTTTAAGAGAGACACTTAAGGCTTCGGTGAAGCATCACTTAAACGGTTTTAGGTGAAGTCAACAACTTTTAGTTCCTGAATTTAAAATTTATGCTCCAGCACCACAGCACATTTGAAGTACTATTAGATTAACACTAATTTGCTGCCTAAATATTTTTAAGCGTAATAACCAACGGGCTGTCCCACTTAACCCTTTAATAGTGAATAAGAAATTTTTTAAGAAAAGAAATTTAAATTATCTTAGATACGTTTTCCTCGTCACTTTCCCCTCGCAAGGGGTGTTAACCCCACCATCTTATCCTCCTTACATTTAAGACGCAGCTTTGAAATTATTTCATCCACTTCTTCAGCGGGCAGATTCTTAGCAACTCCTTTACAAACGATTCTTGCAATATTGGATGGGGTCATTGGTAATCTTGCGTTGCGAACCGCTCGCGCTACGTCCCTCCAGCGCACTCCAAATTCAGAAAAAACTGTTATGGTGCAGAGTTCGAATGACATCTTACTCATTATAGTTTGGAGCTCTAATAACTCTGAAATACCAAAGATTCTTGTTAACTCCTCGTTTCTCTTAAATTATTTAGTCCAATGACATAAAATAAATATATATACTTTTTCTGCTGGGGTTCTGCATGTTATAATAAATGTTTATATTTATTACGAAAGAAACAAACGACAAAAATTATGAAAGACAAAACTTAAGTTTACATGTTCAATGTTCATATTAAACAACCATAAACCGTTGAAATTTTTAAATTTGATGTTTATTTGACGTTTACCAATAGCGATGATCAACTCGGTTGACAACTTCGAGCTAACTCGAATTGCGTTCTTCTCGAACTAACTCGAGTCAGATAATCATTAGCTCGAGTTCGGGCTGGCTGTAAATGTGAGCAAACGAGATTAGAATTAGTTCATCGTGCATATATTATAAATACATAAACATACATAAATTGTTTAAGAATAATTTGTGGTTGTAAAATTACTAATGACATAAAAGTACCTACGTCATATAATTGTTACAGTGATATTATTTTGTGAAGATTGTCTATATAACTACTTTTATTATTAAATACTATATCTAAAACGTAAACCAAAAATACATATAGTACTACGTTTTTATTGCACTCTTACCTGCTAAGTTTAGTAATAATTATTATTCAACACATGCGATAGCATCGTATTAATCTGTGTCCAACATGAATTTGTAACAAATAATTAACTCAGTTTGGCCCTGCCAGTCTCTCGAACTCGTACTGAACACGAGTTAAACAACTCGATTGCTTAACTCGTGTTCAGTTCGAGTTACGTGAATTTCAACTCGAGTTGAATTCCCTCCGAGTTGGCAGATCTCTATGATAAATTAGCTGTTCTGTTTCCGTTTCAAAATCTTAGAGTATTCAACTAAGTGTGTTAGTTGAATACTCTAAGTTCAAAATTGAAGCGGAGGGGTCTATGCGCATACAACCTAGTCTGATGTGTATTTTGATTTTGTTCGCAAAATTCTTTCCTATTGGAAATATGATGATGCGTCATAATGCGAAAACTTTTTTATATTTAGAGGACAGCACAAACCAACAGACATTGGATAAGGATAATATTATATCAAAGAGGATAAGCCGTCGCCTATTAAAGCCGTGGTTTTTTTTTGGAGTTAATGGCCTGGTATCTAGACCTTTAGGCCAAGTCTTAAGTATTTTTATTCGGTGTATTGTAATTTCCCCACTCCTTCATAGTATACTGCTTCACAATATGTTGATGCGTCACATTGTGCAGTTCTTGGGAGATTTTGGCGGCAACTTGATCCAGCAGACAGCTGATAGTTGGCGATGGTATCTAAAGGTGCCTATGCAAACAAACAGCTTATCTTGAGAATCCATCACCATCAGAGCATTTGTTTCACTGTTTCCACTAATAGTTCACATACGTAGACACTTAATACACAAAATCGCAACACTTTTACATATCAAAGTCCACTTCAAACCATTATTTAAACAATAATACAGGAGCAGCAAACCGCCGCCGGTCAATTTCCCGCCAAAACTCTTAAAGCCGTGGTGATTTGTTGTAGGCATAGACTAAAAATATACTGGCATAGTCGTAGGGCTGCCGCCACCTAAAGAGCAATGGCAGAAAAATAGTTGACAAAAATGATAGCGTCTAGAAATAAGTTATATATAAAATGAGTTTTATTATTTTTCTATGATTTTTCAAATAAAAATGTATTTTAATTAAAGCCACAGAAAAAAAACAAACATTTTTGGGAATATCAAATGACTTAAATCATTTTACTCTATTCAAATGTTGCCATTTAGTATATTTATACTATTTTCGTATACACTTTGTAAGACTACCAACACAACACACAAAATATTTTTCTATTAAGTTATTATTAGTAATAACTGTACTATCAGTAATAATAAAAATAAAAGTGATATGGCTGAGAATAAGTCTCTTACAAAGAATTTCCTACAATAATACATTATCTCAATCATAGTACTATGTAACAATTTCATTTAATGTTATGCCAACACTAGCTAAAATAAAATGTCACTGTTTTTTTTTACTGGATTTACGGCTCTGGGTTCTAGCCCTTCTGAGAATGTCACTATGATACAAAAGACCTGGAGCCATGCCAGAAATATACATTTATAGTATGCAAATATATAATACAGATAGTATAATCTAAAAACTCTCAATTATGTATTATGTATTAAGCTAACATCAAACAACCACAGGAAGCATGACTTTTTCCAAGTGACATAGGACATAACCTAAAAAGTTCAAATGTAAATATCTTTTTTTTGACGCCTTCTCAGTACAAAATTCTTTGACAGAGTTATTAAGGGACTGAGGCTTAACATTTTAAGATATTTTTGGTATATAGACGCTACCATTTCTTCTCAACTAATTTTATGTATGAAAGTCTGCCATTGTTCTTTAGAAGATGCACAAGAAATTCAAAACCTCTGGACATTTGGTTGAATAGCTATTGAGTTGTATCCCCGGATACTTTTGTAATTAAATGCCTTACAATGTAAATAAAAACATAATTTTCATTTTCAGACTAACGAACTAGTCACGTAAAATGATGTTAACTGTATCGTCCCGTGTGTGTCATAAGAGCTATCAGAGGGAAGCAAATCAGATGTGTATTTGAAATTTTCTTCCTATCATTTCTTCAGCTGTGGATGTAATATCTGTGGATGTAATATATATGTAATAAATAAATTAATATTGTAATAATATTCGCGCGTAAATGGAGGATTGACATGGTTCAATATACTCTTAGTTAATATGTTGTATACATAGACTTAGATTATACTGGTATATTCTATGTATTTTAAATATGTGCTTGATACTAGAAAATGGATTAGGCGTATAAAATTAAACCGAGTTATCGATATCGCTGTTTCTTTCTTTCGCGTTGTTTCAGATTGCCATTTCAAAAATGAGATATAAAAATACATAATATTATATCGGAAGAAACTGAAAATTTTAATTCTGTTATACTTTTTTTTTGTTGCTCATTCGATTATAATAACATACATATTACTCTGATATTTGCATAATTAATTAACATATTAATTAATTGCAATTGAATTATTAAATATAAGCAGATTATAGCAAAAGAAGCCATGAATTAAAAGAAGAATAAAATGACATTTTGTTTGACAATGTCTTTCATATTGAAAATATTTTCTGAAATTGATTCAAATTTATTTAATAGGTTTAGATTTTAATATTTCTTATTGCGTTTAATGCAGTTATTATCGGTTCAGAATACTTAATTTTTGTTTGTAGGCATTTCTTCGCGATTGTGTGTGTAAAGATTGTGAGATCTTAACTCTGTATGAGATATTGACTATAAATTAATTTATTAATTAAAATTTGTATGCACGATGTGTGATCAGAATCAAAAGTAAATTAAGCGTTGTGCAAACAAAAAGCACAAAATCATTCTGATCACTTTGTTCAGGTTCCCTACACTAGAAGAAGACACATTTTTGACAATATTGTGGTAAGCTTAGAGTAATTACACCTAATACTTCTATGGTGGTAAGTCTTTAAGCATTTTGAATTTATTGATCGTTATTTGTAGGGATTATTACTATATTAAAGGGAATTTTATCTGTTTCAGATCATGTATTTGGGCTGAGTTAAGTTTTTACCATGAAAATTTTGCTGATTTAAATTTACGTTAAGTTCTGTGAAGAATAACTCTCACGATAACGTATGTTATAAATCAATATTACACGTGGAAATATTATCTGCAAAAGCAATAAAAATGTCAATTACTATACCTATCTTTAGTTTTATTTTACCCACATCCCTCTAAAGTAAATTCGAGTAATTTTGGTGCAACCTCTCAAATGTATGGGAATTCACCTAATAGGTTTGTGAGGCTCGAGCGAAAATTACTGAAATTTGCCTTAAATAAAAATTTAAAAGTTGCAGAATACAACGTTTGAAATTCGTACTAAAAAGTTTTATATGGGCGCCCACCGTGGCGCTTTTAGTGAACACTCATAAACACGTTTTCTTTTTTTAGTATAAAGTTGACGTTCTTCTCTCGGTAGAGAGTAATTGTGTTCTGTGCTCGAAATTGACTTGTGAAATTAATGAAAAGTTAAAAAAAATTGAGGTCTATTTTCAAATGGGTATAATATGCTCCTTCTATGTATCTTACCTACTTGTAAGATTGGATGAATCGAATGTTTGACTTTATCATCATCATCATTACAGCCCTTCATAAGTCCACTGCTGAACATAGGCCTCCCCCAAGGAATGCCACAAAGCACGGTCCTGAGCCACCTGCATCCATCGACTTCCTGAATGTCTTACTAGGTCGTCACTCCATCTAGTGGGGGGTCGCCCTACACTTCGCCTACCAGTACGAGTCTGCCACTCGAGAACCCTTCTTCCCCATCGGTTGTCGGTTCTTCGAGCTATATGGCCAGCCCATTGCCACTTCAGCTTACTAATCCGTTGGGCTATGTCGGTTACTCTGGTTCTACTGCGGATATTTTCATTTCTAAGTTTATCACGCAGGGAAACCCCAAGCATAGCCCTCTCCATAACTCGTTGAGCGACCTTGAGTTTCCTCATACGGCCAGCAGTAAAAGACCACGTCCCAGATCCGTAAGTCATCACAAGCAACACGCACTGGTTGTACAATTTCGTTTTCAGGTTTTTTGGTGTGTTTAAAGAGAAGATGTGTAGTAGTTTCCCGAACGCTGCCCAGCCGAGTTGAATCCGTCGATTAACCTCTCGGTCGAAGTTGGACTTACCTAGTCTGACTATTTGTCCCAGGTAAACATACTCGTCAACAACTTCAAGCTTAGTGCTCCCAACAACTACCGGCATAGCTGTGACATGGATGCTAAACATGATTTTTGTTTTATCCATGTTCATCTTAAGACCTATGCGTTGGGAGACACTATTGAGGTCATTGAGCATAGTGCCTAGGTCTTCCAGCGATTCTGCCATAAGGACTATATCGTCGGCAAATCGAAAGTGAGTGATGTACTCGCCATTGATGTTAATACCGCGTCCTTTCTAGTCCAGTAGCTTGAAAACGTCTTCCAATGCAGCGGTGAAGAGTTTCGGGGATATAACGTCACCCTGTCTTAC